CTTAATTCATTCAAGAAAACTAGTGAGTGTGGAGGAAAACAAAACACAAGGCTACGACTCAAGCTAGAAAGAGAAAGGTGCACATATCTAACTACTTTTAACATTCTAATATTTAAATAAGACCATCTAACTTTAAAAAAACCTTCCTCTGAAATTTGGCTCATCTCATTCTTAGCTTATATTATCAGCATCTGGCAAGCTCTTCTCTTCTTAGCACCTAAAGCTAATAGACTGGGAATGAGACCAGGACTGGAGTAGGGAAATGTGTCTATCAGCATGGGTCCTTATATGTGGTAGACAATGAATACTTGTGGAAACATTCTTAGACACAGCAGAATTGTGACCATGCAGATTTCATGTAACCATGCAGATTTCATGTAACCATTCTTTCCATAAGATATACTTAAACATTTAACATAGCAAAATATAATTTAATTTGCATTTGTATAGGAAATTATAAATAAAAATATAGCTTAGCTTATGTTTCCTGATTTTTGGTTCTACATATTTAGTCACTGTATGATTGAGACAAGTTCAATGTAAGTATAAACCTGAATTTTTTGCACATATATTTATATCCTGTAGAAGATTCATTCCTTAAACATCTTTCCGTGCACTTCTGGCTGATGACACTTCCACTTTATCAAGGTTAGAGGATAAAAGAGATGTGAAAACTTTCCTTGGTGGAGAAGCTATCTGAAGTTTCAACAGAGCAGGTGATAGAATGGGACAAAGGAAAGGCGGTTTGGTGCTGTATTCTTTTAGAGTAATTATCGCATTAAAAAAAATCATATGTTATTTGGCTGTAAGAATTTGGCCCACTCGCCCACATAATTATAACATTCTACAGTAATATGTAATTAAATTGCTTTTAAAATGCCACCTGACAGTTCAGTCAATGTGTAAGGAAAAGAGCAGAGCAAAAATTTGTTCAACATGTAAAATCTTCCATCTGAACAATCAGTGAATGCATTTTAATGTCGATGTGTTAAAATGTACCCAGGATTTGTTTTAGGTGTGGTGAGGCCAGCACACTGGCGGACGACTGCCATGAAGGAAGACATTTTTACTCAGACTTCCCTAGGAACATAGAGAGGCATTGGTGTACCATGCAGAGCCACATAGGGAAGTACCCAGGTTGGTCAGGAGGCAGAAAATTTGAGGGGAAAGCTTGGACAAAAACCTCTATGTGGTTTTCATGAGGCAGGGGCCTGACTAGGTTTGAGATTGGCTACTTTGAATAATTTTAGTGGGCCCTGGGGTATAAGGGCTGCCCTCATTGTCTGATGTCTGGCTCTGGGATGTGATTAGGACAGAGGAATATTGCCTTCTGGAGAGTAAAAGCCAGATGGCAGAGGTAGTTCTAATACGGGTTCTGGATTGATGGATTTGCTTATCAAAGATGTGCTCCCAGACAAGTTCACTGTCTTTAGGAGTTAGTTAGTCTTACGAAGGGCAGTTTCATTAGGACTAACAAAGCCCCAAAACGTCAGTCATAAATTACAGAAAATTAAAAATGTGATTAATACAGTAAGACTCACAATGTCTCCAGGAAGGTTTCTTGAAGTGTCTAATCCAGTGTCACTGCTAAGTGCCATGAATATGACTGCATACTTTACTTACAGGAACTCCAAATTGAGATGAGATCATGTTAAGGAATCACAGCATTTATAGGACAATGTTTGGCATTTTCTTGGCACCCAAAGTGGTACTAATTGGTCGCAGTAACAGTTTCTTTCCTGAGGCATTTATAGGACAATGTTTGGCATTTTCTTGGCACTAATTGGCATTTTCTTGGTACTAATTGGTCACAGTAACAGTTTCTTTCCTGAAATGTTTCCAGATTTGAACCTGCTGTTTTATAGCTTAAGTCAGAGGGTTATGATGGTTAATTTTCAGTGTCAACTTGACTGGGCCATAGTGTACCCGGACATTTGGTCAAACAGTATTCTGGGCTTTTCTGGAAGAATCAGAGGCCTGAGTAAAGCAGATCGCCCTCTTCATCCAATCAGTTGAAGGTCTGAATAGAAAAAAGCTGACCCTCCCATGCACAAATAAGGGAGAACCCTTTCTGCCTGACTGATTTGAGCTGGGACATTGGTTTTTCTCCCGCCTTCTCACTTGAACTGAAAGATCAGCTGTTCTTGGGACTTGAGTCTGCTGACTTTTGGACTGAAACTAAACCATTGTCTTGCCCTGGGTTTCCAGCTTGCTGACTGCTGGTCTTGAGACTTGTCAGTCTGCATAATTGTGTGAGTCATTTCCCAGATGTGTCTGAGAGTATAATAGGTCTCCGCTCAGGTTTGAGAAGTTGCTAGAATGACACCCAGAACTCAGGAAAACACTTTACTTATGAACCAGTTTGTCATAGAGGCTGCAACTCAGGAATGGTCAAATGGAAGAAATGCATAGGGCAAGGCATGCGGGGCGGGGTGGTCCAGAGCTTCCATGCCCTCTCCGGGCATTTGATGCCACTCCCTCAGCACATCAATGTATTGTTGACCAGTCTGGAAACTTGCGGAATCTGGTGGTCAAGAGTTTTCACAGAATTCAATCTCTAGCCTACCTTTCCTCCTGAAAGTTCGAACCCTCTAATCACAGATTTGGTCTTTTTGTGATCAGCCCCCATCCTGAAGCTACCTAGGGATCCCACCTTGAGTCATCTCATCAGCACAAAGTCACTTATGGTCAAAAGGGGCTCATTTATTATTATTTGTTATGAGTAACAAATAACTTTTCACTCAGGAAATTCCAAAGTTTTAGGAGCTTTGTGTTAGGAACTGGAGACAAAGACCAAATATATGTAGATACAAAGTGAGATATTAAGAAGCGATTATGTATTATTGCCCTAATTTTTGACATAGTATTATGCTCCACCTTCTCCACAAAGAGTATTAGATTTTGGTTCTAGTTTTTCTGATCTGGAAGTTTAGATGGCTTTATATTGTTAGAATGAGAGTGTTTTTGAGATTTGCAGGTGTTTTGAAACTTGGAACATTTCCTTTAAAATTATTTTGTGTTTTTGAAATTGTTTATACTTTACAAGTGACATTTGACTGCAGAGACCAGGCATTCTGCTTGGTGGCTGTTATTAACGATGTTGGTAAAACTGGTTCAGAAGGACTTTGTGTTTATAAATATTGATTCCAGAAACAGGCCACGGGTACCTGCTGGACTAAAACAGAACTTACCTTCTTGGCCGAATGAGGGAAATATTTACATAAACTCTACCTATTTCAAGAGAAGAACCTGTGGTGTTAGGCTTCAAGGGAACTGGAGGTTAAATAACCTCAGATGGAGTGGCTGGAAACCAGAAATGTAGCCAGGCCTCCTCCTAGGTCTTTATTTTTTAACTCTTTCCATGGGTTAACATGTAGTATCAGGACTGCAAAAAGCCGGTTTCCCTTTTCTGGGAAATGAGTTTTGCTGTGATTGTCATCTTGTGGACACTTAGAAAGGCAAGATGTGATGACTTTCTATTCACCATAAAAATAACTTTTCCTTCCCTATCAAACAGCAACATCCTAATTAGTGATTTCCTCCACTCCTTCATTTAAAAAACCATAAAATCGAGTGATTTTTAAAATTTACAACAGTAGCGTTTGTTAAAGAAAACTTGAGAAAAGCATATACAAAGAAGAAGAAAAGTCATTTATGGTTATATCAGAACATTGCTAATGTTTAGTTGTCATTAGCATGAAAAATGGTTTCTCTTTTCTGGGATGTGTGGAAAAGATATCCTTTTTTTTTCATTTAACATTGTTACATTAGCATTGTTTTGTATTTGGTAAAGATCACGGAGATAGTAGAGTGTAGTGGTTTAAAGTAGAGCCTGATACCAGGGTGCCTTGGGTCAAATCTCAGTGCACCACTTAAGGACCGTGAGAGAGTCACTTGACTGCCCCCTGCCTCTGTTTTATCATCTATAAAATGGGGATGATAATGGCAGCCAACTCACAAGTTAAATGCTTATGTAAAGGACCTAATATATGTTAGTTATTACCATCAAAAGATTTCATCATTACAACGTTAATATATGTACATAGTAGAAATTTCGTAAAATACAGAAAAGAAGAGGCAAAATAATCCATTCTAAAACCCAGAGAAAACCAATCGCCCAATGTTAAAATCTTGCTATCTTTTTTCAGTGCGTTTTCTCTTATGTAGTTGAACTCATATTATATTTCCACTTTGTATACGAATCATAACCTAAGCATTTTATATGCTCTTTGTAAACATAGTTCTGAAATACTTCTGTAGGCCTTTGTATAGCCATTACATAATCATCTTGTGTAACCACATTTTACTTAACCTTTCCCCAAAGTTTTGACATTCAGAGTGCTATCTCTACCTCCACTCCCAGTATTAAATTGAAGTAAATCATAAATTAACCTTTGTTTGAAATAGTCTGGGATCTGAGCTTTCCCTCAATTACTGGTTTGTAGATTGGATCTCATATGGGGCATAATGAGATCCCATCTACAAATCAGTAATTGAGGGTTGACCATATTATGAATGAATATGTGAGATATATCTTTGTAAAGGTTTGTCTTCTTCAGTATTAGAGGTTATTTCCTTAGACCGGAGGCCCAGAAATGGAAATGCAGGGTCGAAGGATGGTCAATGTTGTTTTCGAGAAGGGTCATGCTTATTTTAAATTTGCAGCAACAATGTGTGAACCCGCCCCACTTTCCGTAGGCCCCCAAATCTCTGGGTCGCTTCTCAGATCTGAAATGTTGAGGAAGTCATCAGGGCGCCAAACACTGACAAGTTAATCCTCACTCTGCCTCCTGCTTCCCACTCCCAGTCACTTTTCCCTTCCCCACGGGCCCTTTTCCTTCTCAGCCTTCCCTAATCCCCTCCTGTGGCCTTCCTTTTCTCCTGTTGGTGGGAGGTGAAGGGTGTGGAAATGACATAATGAAATTGTTCCCATTAAGAACGTAGTGACTTGAGCAGCTAGAAGTGTTATCCTCATCTGGGTCTTTGCATTCGAATAAAAGGTTTCTGGAGCAGTGTCAACACGGAGGACTGAGCTTGATGGTGGAATTGGGGACACTGTAACACCAAGGAGGAAGGTATTGTGAGTCTGGGCCCTTCAAGTTATACCAGAAGATAGTATCCAAGATGTAAGGCCTGGTCTGTGGATGGAAGGAAGCAAAGGCCTGTTTCTGAGGAGCCTTCATTTCCTCACTGCCAAAGCACTAACTGCTCAGAGCAGAAACGCCTTTTCCTAAAGGTTAGGCCTGTCTCTTGGTGGAACTATTAAGGAGAGATTGTTTACTGGTTGGTTATAATAAAAGACTGGTCAGCATGTGTAGGTTCTTTACATAACATATAACTTTATGATACCAGGCAGGGCTCCTTTTATGACTTTTTTATCATCTGGTTGAAATTGCCAAAGGTGTGGAGGGCCTTTGTTTGCATGTCTGTAGCCTGTGATTTAATCGAATTTCGGGTTACTGGGCATGCAGAGCCAGGAGGCTGTGAGCGGGGCCGAAGCTCTAAGCCGGGCCGAGGCCCTGATTACCTTGGTTTGAACTCTGATTTGCAGGAGGTGGGTTTCATGCTGGACTACTGCTTCAGTACACGTCTGTCTGTGGACTCAAACAGTTTTGATGGACTCAAAAGCCAAAGAGTTGAGCTGTGCGCCTGAGAAAGGAATGGGTGACAGCTAGATGCAACCACAGGATGCCCTAGAATTTTTGGATAGATAAAGATGGGTACAGGCAAACTATTAGAAATAACTCAAAAGCCTTACCTGGTTCAACGTCCTAGATGTCCTGACAGAAGGAGGAAGGGGAGAAATGGAAAACTTAGCCAGGTGTTAGTTGCACTCTCTGGAGGCTTGGGCCACAGCCAGATGGGAAGGTGGTCCAAAGGGAAGATGGTGGGCACCAGCTGGAGCTGGCCAAATGCCAGTCCCCCTGCCTCCGGAAAGAAAATGTTTTGGTTGCATAGCGGCACCTTCCTTACTCATAGCCTCGTCTATTCTCTTCTAGCCTGATCCAGTGTGAAGATGACTCCCTTGGTCGCCGTGGTGTCCAGCCCCCGTGCCCGGCTCTTTGCCTGCTTCCTCAGGCTGGGTGCTCAGCAGGCTGACTCACTTCAGCTGCACACAGGGGCCGGCCTAGCAGCCAAGAACCACTATGAGGTGCTGGTGCTGGGTGGGGGCAGCGGTGGGATCACCATGGCTTCCCGTATGAAGAGGAGAGTGGGCGCAGAGAATGTGGCCATCATTGAGCCCAGTGAGGTAAGCCGCCCCCTTTGAGTGCGTGTGGGCATGCGTGTGAGTATGTGTGCTAGCGGGGTGGGGTGCGGTGGGGATGACAGTCAGGCATTGGGCTGTCATGTCCTGGCTTAGTGTTTCTCCTTCTGGGCACAAAAAGCAGCAGTCCAAAAGGATTGGAGAAAGTAAAGGGAAGAAGAGAGAGAGGACAAATCTCTTGGCTTTTTATCTTCTTTTCTGTATGAGTTTCTTAAAGCTGCCATAACAAATTACCACAAACCAAGTGGCTTAAAACAATAGATAATTATTCTCGCATCATTCTGGAAGCTAGAAGCCCCAAACCAAGGTGTTAACAGGGGCTAAGCTCCCCCTTAAGGCTGTGGAGAGGAGGGTAATCTGTCCATGCCTTTCTTGTAGCTTCCGGTGGTTGTGCACAGTCCTCGGTGTTCCTTAGCTTGTGGTTGCATTGCTCTGTGTTCTTCTTCACATGGCGTCTTCACCTGACCTTCTTATCAGGACACTAGTCTCTGGATTCAGGACCCACTCTAACCTAGTGTGACCTCATCTTAACTTGAGTGTATCTACAAAGACCCTATTTCCAAATAAGGTCACATTTCCATGTTCCGGGGCTAGGACTGCAGCCTACCTTTTTTGGGAGAGACGATTCAACCCACGAAACCCTCCACTTCCAATGTCATGTCTAGAGGAAAATCAATGGTCATTATACTTTCCTATCTCTTTCCAGTCTGGAGAAAAAGGGTGATGAGTTGAGGGGACAGAGAGGCCTCTGGGAAGGTGTCAGTGGGTTTCAGAAATTTAAGTGCAAAGAATTATAAACAGATTATAAGGCAGAAAAAGGCAGCAGACGCCAGGAGGGAAAACACTTTAAGATTGTCCAAAAGCTTTAGAAAAATATTTAAGATTTTTGGTGTTTTGCCTGTTTTCTAAGGAACCAGGTAGGTACCAGTTGGGAGCTGTATCCTTGGAAGGGAAAAACAAAATGGATTAGGTGCCTGTTTGGTGGGGAGTTTAGGGCGAGGACGGCACATTCCTTTTCAAGAAGTCTCTCCAGTAGCGAATGAGGCTGCCCAGGCTTTGGTGCAATCTCTGACTGGTATGCTGTGATCTGAGAGGAGACTAGAGGGTGTTCTCTGTCACTTCCCTTTTTAAAGTAATTTTAATTCAGAGACATCATTTTAAACGACAGTAATCTGAGAGCTGTGTCGGGTGGCTGTGGGGTTTATAGCTAACCCATGAACAAGGGCTACTCTTTGTAACGAGACAGACTCCTCTGAGGCACTGGGCACAGTTCAGGAGGCCAGAATCACATCTGCCCTGTCTTGTGAAGAAGGGTAGGACAGGAGTCTCTCAAAGGAGCTGCCAGTGGCTCAGGCAGGTGGCTCAGGCAGTTGGCACGTTCCCTCCTGTGTCTGGTTTAGTGATTGCCGGAACTGATGCTTATTCATAGTCAAAAAAAAAAAAAAAATCCGAGCGTGTGTTTTCATTTCTTTTTCTGTTGCAAATGGACTTGAAGTTGTTGCACTCTCAAAACTGGAGACCTCTGCCCCCTGTCCTCTTGGATCACATCCATTAATGGCTGTAGGGAGATTGCAAAGCTGTTCCTCGTGTTCCCTTCACCTCTCTGTGGGCTTTGGCAGTTCTGTCCAGTCAGGCGTTTTGGCAGTATTGAGAGCTCTTGGTCCCTCAGTCCACTCCATGAGTGAACTGGAATTCTCAGAGGCCATTAATCCAATCTGCCCTTTGCCCTGGAGTCAAGAGCTTTCACAACTAACTCAAATCAAGAGTGGACCATCTGAAGCAAGAAAATTCCAGAAAATTGTAGAAGTTTAGGCATATGTTGCATTATGGGGTAGCATTTGGTGCCTATAGGCTTTGGGTGTAAAACCTCTGAGAAAAGAGAAGAAGGGGAACAGGTTGATGGGGCATGTCTGTGTTTTCCACGGGCAGAATTCTTGTGTAGGTGACTGCCCTTCAGAGCTTAATATAATAGGAGACACCAGTGGGAAGAGGGACAGGGAAGACCAGCCTGGAGACTTACTATGTGATGCTCCAAGGGCTTCAGGAAGGAGCAACTGAGAGAGTCTAGCTCATGGACCTTTAGTTATGACCCTTTTAATCAGCCTCAGATTGAAATGAATCCCCAAATACTTTGTTTTTCAGAGACATTTCTACCAGCCAATTTGGACGCTGGTGGGCGCTGGTGCCAAACAGTTGTCCTCGTCTGTTCAACCCACAGCGAGTGTGATTCCATCCGGTGTAGAGTGGATCAAAGCTAGAGTGGTTGAACTGAACCCAGACAAGAGCTGCATCCACACAGACAGCGGCAAGGAGGTAACCCCTGGGGTCCTTTGGTTTTTGCTAATCTGAGGGCTTCTTTGGAATGCACGGCTGTTACCAGACTGGACAACTTCATGGTTGAGAGGGTGATATACATGCATATGCGTGCATGTGTATGTGTTTAATACATGAGACGGGAGGGTGTGTGGTGAATGGAGGAGGGGACAGAAGGAAGGGCTGAGTGATGTTGGGTTAATAAATGAGCAACTAAGACAAGTATTTGTGAACACCCACTCTTTGCCCTATTGCTTGACACAGTATCTTGCACCTGCATGCTTACTGATCAAATACTACTGCTATATGTTAAAATAGCAGGCACCTTCCTCTTTTCCCCTCTGAAATAGCCAGCTTCTCTACCTGACAGCTCAACTCCCAGAGGAAGGGGATGTTGGAAAATATCCATCCCAGTCACACTAGGGAGAGCTGTGCCAGAGTTGGCAGTGGTCCCCAACCTTTTTGGCACCAGGGACAGGTACTCCTATGCAAATCTAATGCCCGATGATCTGAGGTGGAGCTGAGGCGGTGATGTGCTGGGGAGGGGCTGTGAATACAGCTGAAACTTATCTTGCTTGTCCGCTGCTTACCTCCTGCTGTGTGGCCCAGTTCCTAACAGGCCCGTAGACCAGTACAGGTTTGTGGCTGGGGGCGGGGGGTGGGGGCAGGGTTTGGGGACTCCTGTTGTAAGAGACAGGCATGACATTGAGGTTTGTGCCAGGGCTAAGGAGAATTGCTGTTGCTGAAGCTTGAGGCTCTTAATTGCTTAGCACCATTTAGAAGTCTCCTCCCACTGCCACCACCCAGGGATCACAGCTTTTCAGCAACTGTCGCCCCTGTGTTTAAGGGGATGAGAGCAGGATGCTGAGACGACAGGCTCAGAAGCCATCTGCAACGTCATGTCCTCTCCTGTGCTGCTGAGCCCATGGCAGCAGCAGGCAGAGCGGCCATTATGCTGCACCCTGCCTGTTCCAGGCTCCCACGGTTCTTGGGCCCTCAGGGTGTTATTGGTCTTAATATAGTGCTCCCTCTCCCGCTGAATCAGGCACTCTAGCATTTAAACAGAATTGCAGAATTCGAGAGTCGGTGGCAATCTGAAAGATTTTCAAGTCGACCCCTTCCTCTGGGCAGGAGCGCTCCTAACCTTTCCTTGGGTCATGGATTTTTTGAGTACCTGGTAAAAGCCTGTTCTAGAAAAATGCAAATATAGTCCCAACTTTGCATTAATTTTAAGGAGTTCAGAGATTCTGTGTAGCCTCTCCTTAAACACTGATCAAGATTACCTGCCTGTCTCCTGGCTTCTCTTCCCTTCCCCTTTCCACAAATATTTATTAAGCATCTACCGTAAGCTAGGTACAGTTTTAGGCACATAGAAATGAACAAAAACAGACAAAAGTCCTGACTGTCCTGGATTTTATATTCTAGTGGAGGGGGACATACAATAAACAATAGACATAAGTATGTTATATAGTGTGTTAGAAGGTGATGAATAATAATGAAAAATAATAGAGCCAAGTAATTGGGATTGGGACATGTTGAGGTGGGGGGGTTGAATTGAAAGTTAGTTGGTATTTACACATCTCAAGGTCAAGGAGTTCTCTAACATTATCCCTCTTCATTTCTTAGACAGATTATATGAAAGTTCTGCCTTTAATGGGTCAGAATGCACCTTCTCATAACCTTTCCTATTCTTTCTCGGGCTCCCAGGGTGTTTGTTATTGGACTTAATACCTCCTGTCTCGTTCCTTGTTCTTTATGTAGTGTGGAGAGGATGTTTTCTGTTTTCTGTGGAGAAAACCCTCAACTATTTTAAGATGGTTCTCATAGTCTGTGTCAGTCTTCTCATCAGATAGACTTGTCCTCTCATCCCTACTTTTCTCAACTCTTCCTTATATTTCAAGATCTACAGTCCCCCAACCACCCTCTTTACCCTGCTTTAGACATCGTCTAGTTTGTTAGTACCTCCATGAAATAGGTGCCTGGCAGAGTAAGCAACTCTATAGAACAGCCCAGAACAGAGTGGCACCATTCTGCCCCACAACTGGATATAGCCTAAGTTAGCATTTGCCTTTTTAGCAACAAGTTGCCACAGTGCTGATTCATGCTGTGCTTGAGATCAGTTCAAACCTCTGGGTCATTTTTTCACATGATCCACTGTCAAGTTAAGGCTTCCCTTATCCTAAAATAAATAAATAATATTTAATATTTAGTATATATTTAATATATAATAATTGTTTATTTTAATTAAATTAAAACTTTGTTTTATTCCCCCCCGCCACCGCCCCCCCGCCGTCCCCTTTGATGAACTTCCTTATTTCCTTCAGCATCTCTTGGGGAGCAGACTGAATTAAACACAATATCGTTCTCAGTTCACAAAATTGAACTTTGGCATTCATTTCACTTTCCAGTCTGCTGCCAGCTCATGGGGCCAGGAGACTTGTGTCCTATAACCCACATCACCCCTCTGATACAGTTGCCTCCTTGATCAGACCCCTTTACATTACAGGAATAGCTCAGAGCCCTCTGTGATTGTGTTTGTGCTCATCTTAAGGATCGTAAACTTGTCTCATCTCTTAAGAATGAGAGGCACTAATAGGTGTCCTCACTTCTGAGCCCTGCTTAGACTGCTCAGGCTTAGACCCTTAGGGAAGTTGTCTTGATTTAGGGCTGGGGAAGAAGTTGGTAAAAACGGGTGGCACTTTCTTCCAAGATTTTTAAAGCAAAGGTATTCCATAGTCAGCTATCAGAAATCTGCATATTGCATCTCATGGGAGATATCATCTTGGTTGAATAAAGTGGATGCTCAAGAAATGTTGCTATTATTATTTTTAAAAGAATACAAAAAAGGAAAAGGAAATATTTATTGAGTACCCACTATGTGCCAGCATAGTTCTAGACTGCTGACTGAAAGCAAGTTTACAATCTGTGAACCTATGTTGATGCTCTTCTTTATCTAAATTACTAAGAGATATCTATTTAATAGATGGGACTAGAATTTTGAAATGGATGAACATCCTATTTATTAAGTTGTTAGTTTCAGAATTTACCTCCCCCACTCCTTGTATGAAATTAGAATATTTGCCCATATTTAGCCTTCTGGCAAGGTCTGCACTTTTTTCTGCAATTGCAAAAAAGTCATGTCTACGTTTTTGCAATTCTTTAGAGTTTAGATCATCTAGCCTGGAAATTTGAACTCATTCAAAGACTTGAGGCTTTCTTTTCATTCTTTGCCACTTTAGGGTTTATTCTTCCTTAACACTTTTTTTCATGATCTTAAGTTTATCCGTTATTACTAGTCCTAAAAAATAATCAGTGTTATGGCTCTAATAGAACCATCAAGGCACGCACAAACCAAAGGCTTTCCTTGTTGATGGTGTTCATATGTTTTATCTGTATATCATCACCCGCAGACCCCATGCCACCTCTGACTCAACACAGTTCAGTCAGCTGTTTAATGGGCCTGGTACATTTTCCTACAGAACAAGTAATTTCCGGGTACCCACTGTCTATGGATAGGCAAATCATATGGGTGATGATGTATATATTATCTATCCACTTCGATAAATTGTATTTTTCACAAGGAACGGGAATCAATCATCCAACCATTCATCCATCCAACAAATGTTACTGAATTCCTCAGTTTAATTTAGTGGCTATGCTGGATTCTAGGAATATAAAGAATAAGACATAACCTTTATCTTCTAGGCATGTCCAATGTAATGGGGGAGGACCTTGTTGCTATATAACACGACAAGTGCTATAAGCATTATGTACACTGTGCTAAGGGAGCTTCCAGAAGGGGTCAGCGGGGAGGAAGAGAGTCAAAGGAAAGCCTCACTGCAGAAGTGACCATGGAGATGAATCTTCTGGATCCCAGGGCAAGGACTCTTTCAATGACTTGCTCCTCTTGACTCCCTAGTCTGAGCCAAGTTGTCTCGTGTCTTGGAATCCCTTCTCTTCAACTGTGATCTGATCAGCTTATGTGTTCTGCTTCTCTATTTAGTAGAAGAGGGAGACATTCATACCTGTTGCTTCTTTCTGGGCTCCTGACTTTCATCGCAATCATTCTCCATCTCCATTTTTCTAGGCAAGTCTTTTTACTTTCCATCCTTTTTGCTTACACTTTATAGCTTCAACGTGTCTTCCTCATGATCCTAACTAAACCCACATTTCTATCATGATAAATATAGAGCCGTTTGCTCTCAGTATGAATAATCACAATGCTCATATTGAAAGAGGGGACTTAAAATTCCAAACAGATCATTAAATAAAATCAGGCACATTGTATCGCATCCTTTTCAATGACACTCAAAAGAGCAGTTTCTCAGTTATGATACTGATCCATCCATATGACAGATCAGATTTCCTTGGGATTTATACAGTACCTCATAGATTTTAAGGAAAGTCGATTGTTTTTAAGATTAGAAAGTCCTTCTACCATTCCTCAACTTGAAAAGATGTTAACACAAACACTGCACAAAAAGTGTGGACTCTTCGCTGTGGAGTCTTAAGCCCTCAGAAGATGGGCAGGTTATACAATATTTGTGAAGCACTGAGCTGTGGGGCATCAGAGAACAGTGGCCGTGATGGCAAAAACTTGTATGTGAGTCTCTCCCTACTGCTCTGCCCGCCACCCACCCACACAAGTCATTCACATTAAAAAATGGAAACATGATGTTGGCCACACACATTTGGGGCCAGGGTCAGCCCTTGGACTTACATTTTTTGGATCTTGATCTAAAATAGCATTGTTTTGTATTGCAGATCTCCTACAAATATCTTATTATTGCTCTTGGAATCCAGCTGGACTACGAGAAGGTACTGTTTTAAACTTCTTCTGTGTTCACTGACTTATTTATGCCAAGATTAAACTGCATTTAGTGGCTTTATATTCATTTTGACAAGAAAAATTATTAAGAAATTCTCTCCTAGTTTTTCTCAGCAATATTTTTATGTTTTTTTTTTAAAGTTCTCTAAGATTCTGTCAATGATAATATGATATAGCTCTCAGCTTTAATCAGAGTTAAGCATGTCCATGACTTAATGGAAATTCTTGCAAAAGGGCAGCCTTTTCCACACTTATAAGAAAGCTACCTTTCTATATAGGACTGAGTGGGTTGTATTACAGAGTAAATTTTCCTCTGAAAGTAGATTTAGATTATGAATTTTTAAGCAGACTTTAAGGGTTAAATACCAGCAGTTAGTTTATCAGAAGCTAGAAGGAATTCTGGGTTTTGCTATGTAGAAGCTGGTTTTTTGGTACAAAGTGACGGACAAAATAAATACTACCCTAGAAGTTCCTTAGATCTCTTTTTTCAGTGAGCTATGGAGCCAGATGCTGTCTGACAATTGTGAGATTCAAGTTTAGTTTTCTAAAACATCATGGAGTAAGTCAATAATTATGGTTTCCAGAAGTTTGTTGGGGACTCTGGATAAATAGTTGAAGCACATAAAGTATAGTGATAACTAAGTCACAAGCTTCAGTAATGTGATACAGGCAAGGGCCTCATCTGAGTTGGTTTTCAGTAAGGGTTTTTGAAGTATGTTTTTGCATAAAAACTCAGAATTGTGACATGTGGCAGAGGGTGGTGGCAGTGTCCTGGGTGTGTTCTGTGAAGGTTCAAAGAAGCCATGAGTTAGTGTGAAGGTTGGGATGAATTTGAGTCATGGTGCCATGGTCCTGAGTCTCTCATAATATCAAGCTATGGAGTAGACTGTATGGAGAAAGGTGCCAATTACAACATCTGGGAGGTCCATGTCTCTTAAAAGAGCCCCAGAAGTGTTGACTTAGCCAAAATGGTGCATCTCCATGGTACTGTCCACTCGAGAGTCCCAGTGCCATGTGAGGAGGACTGTTTGAAGAGATCAGTGCTGAGAATCCTTAGCAGCTTCTTGCAACAAACCAAGAAACCATAAAATTTAAAAGTAGCTATTATTATGGAGTCTATACTATGTAGCAGGGACCATGCCAGGAATCTAATATTGATTCCTTACAATTACTTGTGAGATAGGTATTTTTATCTCCACTTAAGAGCTGAGGAAACTGAAGCTACTCTGTTACCTCATACTCTTTGATTGCAGACAATAGAAAACTATTCAGATTTTTGTAAATAAAAAGAGGACTTATTTGATGAGTATACCAAGGTGTCTGGATCTCCAGGACAGGAATGTAGTTGAGCCTCCAGAAGGGCTAGATCTCCAGTCTGGGTTCTGTTGGACCTTGGGCAGCCTCTCTCTGCCCGGCTGTTCCTGCTTCTTTCTCCCACCAGCTCCATGGGGTGTACACCAAGCAGTGTCCTGATCACTGGCCTGATCAGTGGGACAGGACAGTCCACAGCGTCCAGCATACAGCCTATTACTGTGCAGCCAAAGTAGGGATCAGATCTCATCTCTTCCTCTGATTCCCCTGCTCTCTCTGCTTTAGAGTTCCCAGAGAAGCACCTTGGATTGGATGAGGCATCAAGAACTGCCCTGTAGACCAGGTCTCACTAAAAGGAGCTTGGTTACTACCTTATGGCACCTTTCCCCTTAACAACAGCTTCTTCAGACTAGAGAGAAACAATGAAGATGATAAGAGATCAGCTATTTTTTTATTGCTTGGATAGTGAGTTTTGCTTTGGGAACCAGGAAGTATGGAAGTCCTGTGGGAAGAGCCCTAGGCAGTGGTCAGGGGCCTCAGTTTCTAGTTCTGTAAGATTCTAGGTAAGTCTCTAAACCCTGTTCTACCTCGGTTTCCTTATGTATGTCTATGAGTGAATAATATTTCCCTCCGAGGAGTACAGTGAATATCCAATATTAGCATAGAGGTGAAACTGCAGAAACATTAAAATGTAAGGTGATTTTATAATAGTAAATTATCATTGTTGAAACTGCTAATATTACAACCACTTAAACTGCAGCAGGAGTTATGATCAATAATCAAAGGAAGAGTTGCACTTACCATTGAGTATTATGGAGGAAACCATAGGACTCTGTTTCTTTGAGACCTGAGGGATAAGTGTCAAGCGACTCTGAAGGTTATGGCCCTATGTTATGGAAGACAGCTTAGGGAGGTTCTGAAGGACCAGCTCATCTTATGACTGTTTTTTTTTTTTTGAGGGTTTCCTGCTCTTTCTAGAAGAACTGGTGCCTGAGTCTCTTAACTTGGTCTCTGCCATCTTTACTGCATTCTGTGAATCTTCAGACATTTAAGACAAGTATCCAGTTAATCTTACTGGCAGAAATACACTAACACTGAGCACTTACTGTGTGCATGTCATTTTTCGAAGCACTTTACACACATGGTCTCATTTACTCCTGCCAACAACCCTACTTTTATCCCCATTTTGCATATTATGAACACAAGCTTCTCAAGCCTCACTGTGCATCACAGTCACCTTGAGGACCTATTAAAACAGATTTCTGGGCTTGTCTCCAAATTCTTGATTCAGTAGGTGTGGGGTGGGGCCTGAGAATGTACATTTTCAGCAAGTTCCCAGGTGGTGCTGGTGTTGCTGGTCTGAAGGCCATGATTTGAGACCCGCTGGCTTAGAGATATTAGGTAATTTACCCTGGGTCACAACACTCATAAGTGGAAAAGCTTGGACTCAAGCCAGGTCTGTGGGGTTCCCAAGTTCGTGTTTGTAATTACCTGCTTTTACTAAGAGTTTTATTTGGTACAACCTGATGAAGGGTAATTTAAGTTTGCTCTTATTGACAGTGTGGCTCTTGGTTCTACCTGTCACTCTTCTTCCCAGTAAGGCAACTGGTTCTCTTAAAAGGAAATATGGCTGATTTTTTCTCCTGACTCTGATGGTGAGAGGAGACATATTCAGATCATGGTCTCAAGGCAGAGGAGTTCCCTTGGTCTGAGCTCAATCTGCAGCTTGGCTGGTGACTCCAGATGTTATAGCATTGATCTTAGCAGATCCCTCACTCACCTGCCTTCTCCATTGTGTGTGAGTACTGGGGGCTAATAATTGTACTGAAATGCTTGTGAGGTTGTAAACACGGCAAAGAGCAAGGACTCTAAAGCCATTTGCACTTTGGTCAAAATGTTTTTCTTCGTGTGCTTTGTTGCAGATTAAAGGCCTACCTGAAGGTTTTGCCCATCCCAAAATAGGGTCTAATTATTCGGTTAGGACAGTAGAGAAGACATGGAAAGCTCTGCAGGACTTCAAGGAGGGAAATGCCATTTTTACGTTCCCAAATACTCCGATAAAGTGTGCTGGAGCCCCACAGAAGATCATGTATTTATCAGAAGCCTATTTCAGGAAGGTATGCTTCCTTTCCAGGGACAGTGACAAAGGATTGGGGGCAGATGGTGCTAATTCAGTGATTGCCAGAATTCTATTTTTATCCATGTCAAAATACCTTTTCTATTTTTAAATTTTATTATATGCATACAAAATTATAATTGAAGTTTATAAAATTGAAAAAAGGAAGAAGTCATAACTCAATTGTTTTAATTTAGCTGCTGTCATCAATTTAACTTGGCCTTCCATTTTTTTCTATGTGTTTTTTTAAACATGGTTATAATCATATTGTACATACAAATTTAAATGTGTTACATGTTAAATAGTTTTTGTAACATATTTTTAATGTATGCATAAAAGTCTACTGGGGAGATATGGTAGAGATTGTTTAAATATTTCCATATGATGAGACAGTTGTTCATTTTTATACATAATAATATCCTCAACTGCTCCCACTCAAGTTCAAGGCTATGAATATTTTCTGGTTCTTGATATACATTTTTAGGAGTAAAATAGGCAAAATGCCAATTCTAAAGGCAAAAAGTTGTTCACATAGAACTTCAAACCTCAGTGGAAAGAGATATTTGGATGGGATCGTCTTCTCAGCATCCCTCAAACATTTTCTGTGTCAGAGCAGGTGTTTGCAGCTCAAGAACACATGGTGTGAAGCAAGAGTAAGCTGCCCTTGCCCTCTTGCCCTTGTGTGGAATGTCACATTTGGTTTACCAAAGCATGGTTTTACCTGAGACAGTGGCAGAATTCAAAGCATCCTGTGGTTCTGTAAAGGGGCAGGTGGGGAGAAGGGGAAGGGAAGATGGGACTGGAGAGGGCTTGAATGTGTGCTTGGAACCTGGCACTGGGAAGGCTTTCACCTGAGTCACATAAACCTCATGGGGCAGGGAATAAGGGAATAGTTCAGTCGTTTCTGGGAAAGGCCGTTCTGGGTCATGAGAATTCCAGGCTGGCACAGCCTTTGGAGGTTCTTACCTATCTAAGTTCTTTCAAATAGTGAGATCCAGATGAGCAAATCCCAAATGGAGCTGAACAAAGGAAAAGAGTAAGAGACCAGCTGTTTCTTCCCTCCTGGGAATTCTCTGCCTAACTCTTTTTTTCTCAGTTCTTGGATGACCTGAGAGAAATTTCTGTTTTAGGTGTTTGGGCAAATACTAGCCTCTTGGAAACATGAACAGTGACTAGAGTGTATGAGCCAAGGGGACATGGGAGCTTTGTCTTGTTTGCTGCTGTCCCCTTAGCACCTAGAGCAGTATCTGGCCAACTGTGGAACCTCAGTAAATAAGTATTGAGTGAATGAACAAATGTATATGTGAATAAGCAATCCAACTCTGTTTTTACCTGGCCTTCAATTGAACAGTGCCCACCTTACCCCCGCTACTCAACTGTGTACTTAGTTATTGTATTATTGACAGAAAATAAGGAGGCAGCGAATTGGTCCACACCTTACCCCACCAGGGTATAGTGATGGGGAAAGCTGGCAAGGTCTCTTTTCAGGTCTCTTTTAATTCTTGTTTAGGTTAAAACAAAAACAAACAAAAAACGTGGCTGGAGTAATGTGTTGGTGTTGGTTGTTTCTATTCTTTCTTTTTTCTTAGACAGGGAAGCGATCTAAGGCCAATATCATTTTCAACACTTCTCTTGGAGTGATTTTTGGGGTTAAGAAGTATGCAGATGCCCTGCAGAAGATCATCAAGGAGAGGAACCTCACTGTTAACTACAAGCAAAACCTCATTGAAGTCCGAGCTGATAAACAAGAGGCTGTTTTTGAGAACCTGGATAAGCCTGGAGAGACCCAAGTGGTTTCGGTGAGTGGCAGGGTTAAGCTGTCAGCTGAACAGTGTCATAGATGCAGGGGACACCGCGGATCCTGCTTCCCTGTCCTCCATCATTGTGTGCTGGGGGAGGCTGGTTACAATGAGCATCTTAGGACAGTGATAGGGGAGAAGGTAGACCAAAATGAGTGGGGAAGAGAAAGAAGTAAGAGGCTATGTCCATGGCAGTCAAGAAGTGTTTATCTATTGGTACCAATTAGATTTTTATCCTGTTTTGTGTCTCTCCTTTTCTTGGCATGGAGTCACTTGACACAGCCAAATATTTTATAACTTCATTTACTGCCTAGAGTTCAGGAAAGTCTTTCTTAAATGCAGGATCTGGCGATTGTCTCAGTTTATGGCATGGGTATCTTTCACTTCTGGAAGAAGCTGTCTTTAAACATCTTTCACCCATGCATAAAAGGAAGCACTTAACACTCCTTGAAAGCTCTGCACCCTATAGGGAAACATCTAGGCTTTGTGTATTGCCTTGGCTTCTACGTGTCTGTTTCTCCTTCAGTGAGTGGGGAAGTACTTTTGGAGAGGTATGCAAAGATTAAGAACAAGATGAAAAGGTGTCTGGAGACGCCTGCATGGAAGAATCATTTGCTTATATCATTCTGGCAAGAACTGTTAGCAATGAGAAAACAGTGCACAGTCATATTTTATTCATTCACCATTTTTAGAGGAATGAAGGGTTCCATAAAAAGCAATTTTGAATTGAACCAAAGACTAATCTTCTAAACATCAAAACTTCACATTTTAAGATTTTTAGCTCATGCTCTTTATGAATCTATTGCACACACCTTAACCGTGGAGTAAATTGGCTATCATTTAAAATGTTACTGATGATTCAAGGTCATAATTTTTAAAAACTTTTATTTGGAAATAATCTCAACTTGGAGAAAGTTGAAAAAAATAAAAATAGTAAATGTATAATATACCAGAAAGCTGTATATAGCCCTTACCTAGATTCACTTAATATAGTTTTATCCCATTTGCTTTATGATTTAATTTCTCTTCCTCTACCTTGCCCATTCCCCAAAGCATTTAAAGGTAAGTTACATACATCATAACTCTTTACCCCTAAATACTTCACTGTAAATTTCCTAAGATATAGGGGTATTCTTGTGCACAACCACAGTACAGCTACCAACTCAGTAAATTTAGTGCAGATATAATATTTTAATCTAACATTTGTATTTAAGAGTTTTTGTTTTTGTTTTTGTTTTTGTTTTTGTTTTGTCAATAGCGTTTATAGTACCTTTTCTCCTCCAGGACAGAACCCAGACTGCAGTCAGGTATTGCATTTCTGTGATGTCTCTTTATCTTTCCTTAATCTGGACTGTTTCCAGAGCCTTTCTTTGTCTCCTATGACACTGGCACTTCAAAATAATACAGTCCCACTCCCACCACTTTTAGTTTTAATAGAATGTTCCGCAATTGGGGTTTGTCTATATTGTGATTCGTTTCAGGCTATGCTTTTTAGACTGAAATGCTGCATAAGCAATGCTGTGTCCTTCTAGGGTAACACATTTGATAGCACACAATGTTCCTCTTCCCCTCACTGATGGTGTTCATTTTGATCACTGTTCAAGATATGGCCCAGTTTCCCCACTGTGTAATTATCCTTTTTCTCCCTTGCTACTAATAAGAAGTCTATGGAGAGACACTTTAAAACCATGCAGACAGACACCTTACTCCTCATTAAAGTTTCCTCCTGGCTTTTGCATCCACTGATGATTTTTGCCTAATCCAATCTCTACTGTGGTGGTTGCAAAATGATGATTTTCCAACATTTTCTCCATGTTTACCAGTAGGCCCTTGGCATTCTGTCAGTAAAAGCCCTCCCTTCTCTCTTAATTAATTCATTATTGGTTTGAACTCATAAATTGTTGTTGTTGTTGTGGTTTTTTTTTTATGCAATGGTTTATAATTCATTATGGTCCCTAATTATTTTGGTGCTCAAATTGCCCCAGATTTGGTCAAGATGTTGCCTATGTCCTTGTGACATGTCCCTGTTGAATTTTGGAGCATGTTCTTGCTTTCTGGTATCACAGGATTTCTAGGCTGATCTAGTATCTAGGTGCCCCAGCTCAGGGTCATAATTCTGAATAGCTCTTATGTACTTATGTTCCAAGGACCTACTGGTGGTTCAAGGCTAGTTATTTCCTTACAGAAGGGTTCTCAGACTGCTCTGCTCTTTGATTTTGTATGTATCCTTTTTGTGGTTTTCCAGTTTTCTTCCTTCCTAGTTGTCAAGAAGTTATAAGTGACATCGGAGGTCCCTCCAGCTTCAGCTCTTTTAAATTACTGCTTGAAATTTTTTATTGGCTGGAAACGGAGATAGCCAAATGTTAAATTTTATGCAAAGTAAAAGTGAATGGGCCATGAGTGAGGAACCAAAGGATACGTTTATGAGCAAAGTGTGTGAGCTTGAGCGCATGAAATTCATTTTGTTGTTTGGTCTTTTTTGCTTAGGTTCTCAGCTGTGTTCTGGATAGTTGAGGTTGCAGATAGGGACATGGATAAATATATGAATATTGCTCTTCTAAGAGGATTGTAAAGAAAGAAGATATTTGTGTCCTTTTTGAATTATAGGATTTAGGGGCAGATTGTCTTTCCAGACCCAATTCCACTCTTGAAATTTATATTTAATTTAAAAAAGTTACAGTTAGCATTGGGTATGTAGTCAATATTATTGTAATAGTTGTGTGTAATGCCAGATGGATGCTAGAGTAATTGGGGGGATCACTTCATGGATTGTATAAATGTCTAACTTTTTAAAATTTAAAATAAAGACAAAAAAATTATAGTTGACATGCAATATTATATTAGTTTCAGGTGTACAACTTAGAGATTAGACATTTATATAACTTATAATCACCCCAATAATTCTAGTACCCATCTGACACCATAGTTATTATAATATTATTGACTATATTCCCTATGCTGTACTTTACATCCCTGTGACTATTTTGTAACTGCCAGTTTGTACTCCCTAATTTTATTTAGCAATTTCAAATTGATTCAAATGTTCACAAAAACATTTCATTAAGGTGAAAACTTTAGCATCGTAAGACAGTCTCGACCTTGTGAGAGTCAGTAGTCTCCGGTTTCCATAAGGAGGCCTATGCCCTCATCGGGGCTTGGCAATCATCAATGGCACTAGGAGTTAGGAAGGTGCCTTGTATTTATTCCTACTCTCAGACAATTATAAGCTTAATTAACCTTAAGGAAGAGAAAGTGCTGCACATGGTTGGTGCTCCTCTAAGGGTAATCTTGGGTGGCTCTTTAGGAGAGTAGGTCCGAGGTTGGGTATGTTATTGAATAAAAAGAATGAAAAAGATGAACTACTAAAAGTGGAAGAGTTGGACATAAACATAAAAACAATTAAATGAGCCATCGAAATTGATCGGGATGGGTCAGTGTACTATTGCCAAGGGTAACCTTGATAAAGATATTCGGGGGGAAAAATTCACCCTGCCCTCTACACTGTTCAGTAAACTCAATACTGAATCAGACCCCTCCTTCTCTAAAGTGCTAGGCCATATTCTTACCACCCTTTATTTTAAGTTGGTGTTTTGACAGCTTCCTTTATTTTGAGAGTTGACCCATATTTGGGAATGGCACTTACAGACCAGCTCCTAACATGACCTTTATGAGTTTCAGGGACTCTGAGCACCTCTTTGCAGTACCAGACTTTACAAGTCAACAGCCAAGAATCAGGGAGAGAGTAACTGAAATACACCATCCCCTTCATTTCAGTTTTAGCAATAGGAAACATCAATAGGTTCTTTCAGAATATTAGTGAAGTTCATAGTGAAGTTCACTCCAATATCTTGGATTCCCCCATGTCAACTCCCAAAGGGCTCACATGGATTCTGTGGAAGGACCATGTCAACCGAGAGATGGTTAGTTATTTTATCACCAGACTCCAAGGAAGCTTGTAATATCTTAGAGAAGGTATGAATCGATATAAGCACTAATCGCTTAGGCTCTGTCTAGCCATAGTACAGTGCATGGGTAAGGGAGACGGGGGGAGAGCTTGTGGGCCAGTAGAAATCCAAACACAAATTTGAATGCTCTCGGTTTTTTTGGTAGTATGAAATGCTTCACGTTACACCACCAATGAGCCCACCAGATGTCCTCAAGACGAGTCCTGTGGCTGATGCTGCTGGATGGGTGGATGTGGATAAAGAAACTCTGCAGCACAAGAGATACCCAAATGTGTTTGGGATTGGGGACTGCACCAACCTTCCTACGTCAAAGACTGCTGCTGCAGTGGGTAAGATAACATGCTATGTATTTTCTCCTTTCAAAATGATGTCACCCCAAGGCACCATCAGAACAGAAACAAAAATTTGGCACAAATAACATTCTATTAATAATGAAGCAACTTTCATGGCCTAAAAATGATTTTGACCTCTCTGACACAGAAGCGAGTTGTGAATGAACCTAATATGTAGAGAAGAGGGTTGTCTGTTGAAGGCTTTGCACCAGACTAGCATTTGCCTTTTCTAGGTCAGATGGGTTGATGTTAGGGGAGGGTGCATTAGAGAGGGGGTACTGCCTTTTCAGCTCTCTGGAATTCTGTTATTTCTTATATTGCCACTCTTGCATCCCTGGCCTTCTTTGCCTTTGATGCAAGGCAGGTTGGCTATTTTTCTTCTGCCTGAAACACCGTAAAGCTAGGGAAGCATTTGTTTCCCCAGAAAACACAAGCAAGTCAATGAATGCTTGCAGACCAGAAAATTGTTCTATTAAGACAAATACGGCGGAGCGTGCCCTGATTGGTACACGATTAAGGCCTAAGCCTGGAAAACCAAACTCTTCATTTCGATGTTATGCACTAGCAGTGATGGGTAGAACTGCCTTTTAGAGTCTGTTCTCTGTGGACAGAAACCATCTTCTCTAGAT